CATAAAACCGGATCTTCCAGAGTTATGCACCCAAATCCTTTTAGGGTATTTACTACCTCACTGAGATCTATCGATCCATGTACAAATCATTGAAATTGGAAGGGGGCACCTCGGGAGGTTCCCTCGTTAGTCGATGTCATATTTACAAAATCACATGGTACTCACCGTTCCATTATCTACTTATATGAAAAGTCTGCTTCTTTTTGAATCAGTGCAAAAAAAGTGAGAAAAAATTGATTAATCTTTCTTGCAGTGTGAAATTAACGATCATCTTCACTTATTCTCGTATGTATTATATTCATAACAGCTCTAGGAGAAAACAACGAATATTAATAAAAGAGAAGAATATCACATAATATTGTACATACAAAGGCAGTTATTGCGAGCACATGAAATGAACTGTTTGACAGAAAACTAGTCATAAATTCAAAAAAAGAAATTGTATATATACAAAAGCAAATGTTTATTGAGAACAGATTTTTAGTGGAGATGACAGCCGACAGGACTCGAGCTCTTCTCGTGTTAGAGAACATCTGGCATAGGTACAGGAAGTAAAAATATTGCGAAGTCGAAATACTGTTTTTTTTTTTATTGACATTTTCTCTGGATGACAACGTGACTGCTTGAACCGAAGTTATGTTTCATTTTGATGATTTCTTTTTTGATCGTAATCTTGACACATTGGCACTCTCTTCTAGTTCTTCTGCCAATATCGATGAATTCGACTTTACCTTTTTTGTCTTCTTCAATTTTTTCGTCGGTTCTTTCGTTTTTTTAGCAATAGCAAGAACATCATCCATCAATCTTGTATTCGTTGACACTTTGAAGGAAAAAAGGAGAGACAATAGTCTTTCAGTTAAAGATACAACATCAAGCAGTATCGAACATTCTTCTACATCACACCATAGTTACAACAGCAACGCACAATTTTAAACATGTTTTTTCTCACCTTTTTTTGTCCTTCTCTTACGTTGTGTCTGAGGACGTGTTTCCAACACTGATGCCAATCGTTCAATGTCATCGTCATTCTCAGATAAATTTATATCGTCATTTTGTTTATATTTATCATCCCCAATATCGTCTAGTATCAATCCATTATTATTCATTGTCCGTTGTTTCAGTTCCTCCACAGCTTTTCTTAATCGAGGATTTTTCATTGATTTTGCCACATCACCATCTATTTGTAAAAAATAAGAATCGATTCGAGATTGAAGCTAAAAAAACAAATAAAAATAATTTGACTAATTACGAGAAGATATTACTAACTTCTTTTGTATTAAAACGTTTCATAACTGGCAATAATTCATTGTCAACTTTATTTCGATCCCACCTCAATTTATTCCACATAAATCTTTTATTAGTAGTTAAGGTAGTTAAAAGTTAATATTTACAAAGATCTATAAAAAGAACAATTATAGTTAACAAAAAAGAGGATACTCTCGAATTAATTCTAGTTGTGGCATAGACCAACTAAACTTCGACGCATCGTGATCAACATTTGGATTTATATAGGCACGATAAACGAGTTCATTTGGAAAATCTGTTTGTAAAGCGGAAGCAAATAAATGATAAACAAAGTAAATTGATTTAAAATTACCTCTAACCTTCATTTAATTTTAATGATTTTAATCGATTTAATGACTTTGATTTTGTTTTATAATCGGGCATTTGAGCTTCTTCCCACCAATTACTAAAACAAACAAGAGAAAACTTTTCATGTTGAAATCAGATTGTGTTCAAGATATTAAATTTAACTACAAAGAATGTCTTAAACCATCAAATCCCAGAAACATCACGATCAATTACGCTTCGGGTCACTGCGCTGCGCTTGATCATGCTTCGACTCTCATGTTCACATAGAAAGTCAGACGATTACTTCTTCCAATCAGAATCGATTACTCTGTAACTTTATACCCACCGAAATTTTTTTAATCGTTCCATACAATCACCATGAAACTCTTTTAATATTTCGATTGCTGTCATTACTCCTGCTTTTTCTATACCTGAAAGACGATACAGTTAAGTGATAATATCAAATATAACAAATACTAGGAAAACAAATATTTTACCTTTTGTGTAATCACTTCCAACTATCATAGCAACGGCAATCATCGTTTCTCGATTAAGACCTAGATAAGATACAAATAACATTGAGTATTTATGAACAATACTGATAACACTGAAGAGTATACCTAACTGTTTATTGATGATAGAATCAGAATAATATTCAATCATTTCATTTTGACGGAAAAAATTTCGATAAACATGTTTTGCACCAAATACCCAAACATCAGAATCATCACTAATAACACCATCAATTTGATTTGTTAAATCCAAAAATGCCGCTTGACTTTCTGCTTCTGTTGGACTGACAAGAAACGGAATTCCAAATAGACGACACATGTACTAAGAAAATATATAAAATAGATTAGTCTTCAGAATATCCAGTTTTGTTTACAAAGAAGTATCACTGTCTGTCGCATTTACCTACTTGTACATCTTCGTGCATACCATCTGTTAATGTTGCCTGTAAGCGTTGTTGTTCGCGTATTGTTTTTAATTGTTCATTTGTGTCATTAACCAACTGCACTTGTAAATCATCAAGTTGTTCCTTTAAAAAAGAATATTATGTATTTTAATAAATGGTTTTTGCAAGTAAACTGTGACTATTACGAATAATCACGAGAGGACAACTCACGAAAAGATGAATAACGCCTAACGAAGAAACATTTTTCCAGGTGTCCAATCGATTTTTCGTGAAAGGCATTATTTCTGAAGCCGACCAACAATCTGATATCAGTTTTTCTTCTTAAATCTGTCAAGTACCACCCTATATAGACCAAATTTCTGGTGATATAGCTCAAAATGTCTGTTGGAAAGATTCTGATATGACCATTTCGAAGAACCAGTCGAATTACTTATATGGTCAAATATTCGGATCTACCACATAAGTTTTCAACGAGAAACTTTGCTTACAGTACTTGGCGAATCAGAAAGGCAAAATGTTTATTTCTCGATGAAAACTTGTTCGTTAGGTCTCGATATTTGACAACAAATTCAAACAATCAAAAACAACCTTTAGTTAAATGCCTTTCATGAAACAATTGATTAGTCACTTGCGAATGTTCGTTCGTAGATTTTTTTTTCGAAAAGACTGACAGCTTTCTAAATAAATGTTATTATTGGCAGCTTACGGATTCTGGCTGATTACTCTCACTATCATTTGATGGTAATTCATTAAGAAATTCGATATCTTCACTATTAAATAAATCTGTTGGATTTATATCGATGCTGTCACTGCTCTCATTTTGAATTATCTGCTGTGTTAGTAATGTTTCGAACATATCTGTATCAAGTTGAACCGGTGGAACCTCAATGAAATCTGAAAAAGACAAATATTAAATGTAAACCAAAACGTTTATTCTTGAGATATGAAAGATTGACTAACCATCATCATTCTCGTCATCATCCGAACTACTGTCATTAACCGTTGTTGTGATTGTGGTTTTCTGACTAGGTGGTTCACTGGTCAACGAGGTACAAGTACTTTTTTCATTACTAACATTAAAATTATTTTCATCATTACTAACTAATACTACATCATCCGTTGTCACATCAATAGGAGTTGAGTTTTCAAAATTATCCATCAGTTTTTCATAAGTATTATTAATCCTGGTCATCATTGTGTCATCAACAATAACGAGATCATCTTTATCAAGTGTAGGTTTTTTAGTCCTATCTAAAGTTTTATCGTCATCATTTTTATGTGAACTTTCACTTTGATTCACAGATAAATGTTTAATACCACTTTTAGTATTATCATTAATACTGATTCCATTCACTATTGAATTATCTTGTTTTAATGATGCTTCAATTGCTAAGGCTAACATATAGTCATCATCTGTTTCATTAGATCGTTGATTATTTATAAAAGAATTCTTTTTTATCGTTGATGGATAATCAGTTTCTGTTGTTATTTTGTTCACCGTTGGTTGTTCGATTTGACTTGAAGTAGTTGAGACTATAATATCCTGTTGTATTTTGTTACCGTGCTTAATTAACAAATACTCAATATTTTCATTTGACGCTAATTTTCCATGTATAACTTTATCACTTGATCCAGATGGAATGTCTAGAAAAGAATAAAAAACACGATAATACCTTAGAAACACAAACATAAACAATAATTTACCAAATTTTTGTCGTTTAATTGTACTATTCCAATTTTTCATTGTTTGTGTTACTGAATTTTGTTGTAAAACTTTATTCAATTGATAACCAGAAAAATCATCACTGTTCTGAAAAAGTCCAGCAACTTATATTAGATATTCAGCAAGAATCTTAGAGTATACGATACATACCTGTGGCATTTCATGATGTTGATGTCGCCCACGTTTCAAATGTTCCTTATATTCAATCAAAATATCATGTTGCATATCACTTGGTAAACTATTCAAAACATCTTGATCAATTTTTTTATTCTAGAAAACGTTGAACAAGTGATTCAAGTATTCACATTCGTGATTTTCGACTTTTTATCTCACTACTACCTCTGGAAACAGATGATGATAATCATGTTTTGGTCGTGTACTTTTTGTAGACTTCTCGATAATATCATCCGTGTCCATATCGACTTCATCACTACAAAATTCAGAAATAATTGCTCAACAATAAGTTCTTAAATAATTATTTCTCACATTTCTATTTGCGCTCGTAAATGTGTATCAGGTAATTCGAACATATCTTTTTCATCTAACTCTATTCGCAATGGTGGCAAAGATTTGCTTGTATCTTAAAAAAAATAATAAAATCAAATAGGTGGAGAGCAATGAAAACATATTACGGACAAGGCAAACTACAACTTTTTTCCTCGACGTTATATTATTGTTAAATCAGCAATATTATAGAAAAAAATCCGTCGATTATAAATTTCACACGCGCAGAGAGTTAGTCAGATATTTTATCTCTCTTAACAGTCAATACTTACCTTCTCCTTTTAAATGCTGAATAGCAAGTGTCTTAATATAATTTTCCATGATTTTTTTGTTGGCGTTTTTTGTTTTCGTTGAGGCAGTTTCTTGGCGTTGACGTCTTTCAGCCTTTAAAATAACTGATATTGAAAATAAGCAAAATAGAAGAAAACGATGTGATACAGACAAGTATTCTTCGTTTTAATTCTGGTGGTTGTCCATCAAATATAAATACTGGACGAATTTTTAAGAACAAAAGTTTGCAAATACGATGGAACAACAACAGAATATAAGCATTTTTTCTTCCTTGCATGCCTTTCTCTGCTTGATGAAGCCATATGCTTATATCTACAATAGAAGAAAAAAAAGCATGCAGATGTTGTTTGATAAATAAATTATTTTGACTTACTTACCGATCGCTAAAATTTTGCCTTCTAAACCTTTCATATTGATTGGGCGCCCTGTCGAGTCCAACAACTGCCATAATCCATGAACACCCATTTTGTTGTTTGAATGTTTGATTACGATCTACAAATAACATGTATCATTTTACCATTTAAAATAGATCATAGTCTTAATGGGCTGTGTAAAACAATGAATCCTAAGAATCAGTAATATTCAGTTATTGAATTAAGCTTAAAACACTTATGCTTTTTTCATTTATCATTTTTGCACTGTTTCTGGTCGACTAGGACAAAATTTGAAAATATATAGAAAAATGTTTTTTTGTCCTTAGAAAAATAATTATAAATAAGCCAATATAAAAAAGTAAAAAATAAAAATGATATATGCACCCGAGAAATACAGCAAAAAGAAGAAAAAACAAAGCTGTCGATATTTTTAATTCTCTAGTACATACATATTAATGATAAAACGCGTGAACGGAACTCAGACAACAGAAAAACTAAAACATATAGAGCATTCAATGAATTGAATACACAGCAGCAAATTAGCGGAGCGCTATAAAACTACACTTCTATTCGTATAGATGGGCCTATGCTACGAGCTACTGTAAGCAAAAAAACTTTTATTTTGATATGTAATGAGAAAATAGATAAATAGAACCAATAAATCAATTTTAGTATCAAAAAAATATGTTATCCTCTTAAGTGATAAAACAAATGATAGATTAATACAGCCTGGTGTGATACATTCCTTTTTATTCAATATTTATGAAAAATCATATCGATTCAGTGTCAGAGTAAATTACTGTTATTAATGCATTCTTTTCAGTTTTTTTGTATGATTTCTTCAAGCATTTTGTATTAAATCAGTGTTTTTCTGTGCAAGATACTTCCTTATCAACACATAAAGATTCTTTTGCCTCGCAAATTTTCCATTCTGGACTCTTTGTGTGTTCTCCCATTTACGAGGGGTTTTCGTTTAACTGTCTCTCAACTAAGGATCTGACCATTTGTAACTATCTAATCAATTTAACACTAAGCAATGCTTCTGCGAGAAAAATCTGCCAACGTGTCATTGTTACCCAAGTTGTCTTCTGCTATAAACAAATAATCAGGTCTGTAAGCCTTTGTGGAATATCTATTGAATAAAAAAGTCACATACCTTGAACTCGTAGAAGAATGGTTGGTTGAATTGTTCTCCATAAGCTCTGTTGAAACTTTTTTTTACTCCGTTAAATCACAGTTCATTCAAAATACGTATAAGAAAAAATCGCACCAGAATTCCGTCTAATACGCATATATACACTGTTTTTAAAACAAAGTAAATGCTACAGGATTTTCTATGAATGAAAAAATAAGTGCAGTTAAAATGAAATATGTTGAATAAACAACCAAATCATTCGCAATAGCGAGAGTAAGAGATAATTTAGTTTCTTATATCTACTATGCTCATAAAAAGTAGAAAAGAAAAATACGAAAAAACAACAACTAACATTTCTATAACAACCTTGAATGATAAAAGACAGAGATGACGGAGAAAGTGTTATGATAACACTCTTCATTCGTTGAATGACAATAGGCGCAGGCATGGAAGAGAATTATAACAGAACTTCATAAACGAAAGAAAGTAGATTAGAAATCGAGCTTAAGTGTATATTTTTGCTGTAAATCAGTTGGCACTATTTGGCATAATTGTATAGCTTCAACATTTTGCACACCAAAATCACTTTGCTGATATTTTTTATAAATTGTTAGCGGTATTGTTTTCAATTTTTGTTTTATATTAATTAGACTCAAATGTGGTATAAAATCATAATTTCCAGTTAAATTAATATTATTTAATTTAAACCGTTCAAGCAATATTGCACGTAAATTCTCTAATCGATCATGTTTACGACAATTAATAAATAATGTTTTGTTATAAAATGTTTCACAACCAAAAAAATAAAGTTTTAAACGTTCAGGATATGTACAAAAATATTTTAATTCTTCTTGTAACGATTTCATTGTTAATATACACTGATCAATTTCAAATTGATTATTCAAACGTAATGTCAACAATGTAATGTGTAATAAATCAGATCGAAACGATGAACAATGTTTGAATAATGTTGGCTCCGTATCCAATACATATTGACGAAATTCGAGATATTTTTTAATCACAGATGAATCAGTTATGGGTATTGATAGATAATAATTTGGTTTTAATTCACAGTCTTTAACCGTTAATAAAACTAGTTCTGATACACGATCATCAAATTCTTCCTCTTTCACACTATCATGGTTAACACTAAAGTGACAAGCAAAATTTAACTGCTTTGTACGATCATTTTGACTGGCAAAAAAGAACATTTTTAAACGGAAAAAATAAGATGCTTTGTCTCCAAATCAGTTAAAACGTTAAAATTGCACAGATAACAGACATGTCCGAATGTCATTTTAGGACGTTGGCGAAACCTATCGTCAGTAATAAAGTAAACTGTATTGATCACGATTATAACGTTTTTAGCTGTCACCGTTAGATGGTTGCGGAGTACGAGCAATTTTAACTTTTATCTTTAACTTTTAACAGTCGAGATAAAAGTTAAAATTGCTCGTACCCGCAACCATCTAACGGTGACAGCTAAAAACATTATAATCGTGATCAATACAGTTTACTTTATTACTGACGATATGTTTTGCCAACATCCTAAAATGATGAAAGTTAGAATTGACTTATACGAAATAGATAGATTATTAGACCTCCAAGTAGATACTTTAATTCTGTCAATTTATTTATTTAAAAAGGTATGCTCTTAAATAAATAAATTTACGGCATTAAAGTATCTACTTGGAAATCTAATAATCGTAAAATGACATTTGAAGATGGTGCCTCGTTAGCTCAATAGAAACTGCTTCACAATGATTTTACTGACCGTTCATTATCGTCATTTGTTTTTGAATTATTGTCCTTAATTATTGGCGGTAACCGCTGTATAATATCGTATAGTGTTAGTTGACCACACGTTGAATCAGATATATTATCTGTCCGTGTACATTTATCCCATATTATTTCATTGTGATATTTGAAATACTGAATACGATGTTTGGGTATACATAATTTTGTTGAACAACGATTATCTAAGCATTTCAAATCAATCTCAAAGTTAAAATCTGTAAATAATTTTTCTTGTACACCCAAAAATTGATCAATGTAACCGATGGAAAAATGTTCTTTCTTTAGTCTAGTGTCTAATTGTATTCTTGATATAATATCATCCACTATTTTCATTGATGAGGTTTTTTCTTTATTTTCTTCACTAATACTATTCCTTCTACCATTAATATTTGATTTTTTACTAAAATAAGATGTGCCATTTGTTGTGACTGATGACAATATTTGTGGTGATTTTTCACCACTTATACGAACCATCTGAATGTTATTTTCAGCAAACCATTTTAATAGTTGTTTGTAAATGTTTAATACCATTACTTGTCCAATTAATGTTTGACTATATGATTGTAAATATTTGCTTGCAGATAATATCTGTTCGGGTGTTAACCGGGGAGCAGTTAATATTATCTCTGGTGGTTTAATTGGATATGAACCTAAACAACAAAAAGCATCGAGACATAATATTGATGTCCTCTATGTATAATAGGGCTATAGTAAAATATATCTTAAAAAGCATTTATCCAATCGAATACATACTATCTAATTGAAATGTAAGTGATGCATCATATTCATCTAAACATATTTTAATTATGTAAGAAAGTTGTCCAATATTTTCCAATACTCGAATATTTTCTTTAAAATGATCACGTAAACAATTAATTTCTTCTTCGTTTGTCCTTTTTGACGCTAGTGCTATTGTTTCTGACATATCGCTTTTCAACAAGAAGAGACAATACAAGTCTAAAACGAAAACTAAACTTTACAATTATCCATACAATAGTTTACTAAACCAAACTAAATAACTCTAGAAACGTAGAGAAAGGATAATTAAAACAGTTGCGTAATTTAAGAAAAGCATGCGTAGTTCGAAAGAGTAATACTTATGAGTCAGAAAATGACGCTAAACCATTATTTTTCACAAACAATATGAATATGTGATGAGCAAAAAAGTCTGAACGAGGTAGCGAATGATGAAATGAATGGATCATAATCCTGCCATTCTTAATAGCTAAAAACCGTAAATGACGCATTTTTTCCTTTGCATAAGTGACTTGAAGCACTGCAATGTAGAGGCAGTAGAAATCCAAAGAACAATACGATTAATGACGATTTACTAGGCTCATGCTGACGGTTCACTTATTTTTTCGTTTAAATAGTATTACTACTACTTCGCTTTGAATTATGTAAGGTTGGACGGTTGCTAGTGTTTTTCTTTCATCTAAATAAATCATGAAGATTTTCAGTATTAATTTCAGTGTTGAATCCTTTGATATTTTGTTTTTCTGACAATGACGATTTTTCTACGTGTTTTGCTTGTACATTCTGATCTCACTCTTCAAGTTGCAGTTTGAGTAAGAAAAGCTAGATTAATTGCATGAAGAGAGGCAACAGATTAAGTAGTCTTTATAGAAATCAATTTTATTTTAAACTGTTTTTTAAAACCAATACTACAGTTATTTTTGTCTACTTCTTTCTATTTCTGAGGTTACCTATTTATTTATAACTAAGCTTGTTTTATATATTTTTCTAGATAAAACAATGGGTCGTCGACCTGCACGTTGTTATCGATATTGTAAAAATAAACCATATCCTAAATCACGTTTTTGTCGCGGTGTACCCGATCCAAAAATTCGAATATTCGATTTAGGTCGAAAGAAAGCACGTGTTGATGAATTTCCACTATGTGTTCATTTAGTATCAGATGAATATGAACAGTTGTCAAGTGAAGCATTAGAAGCTGGTCGAATCTGTGCTAATAAATATTTAGTTAAACATTGTGGCAAGGATGCATTTCATATACGTATGCGTGTTCATCCATTTCATGTTATACGTATTAATAAAATGTTATCATGTGCCGGTGCCGATCGCTTACAAACTGGTATGCGTGGTGCTTTCGGTAAGTTAACATCGATTTTTTTAAATCAGAAACGATCATATTTGTTCCTTGTATTCTATTCAGTTTTGATTCATATGATAGGAGTCTATAAACATACTCCTTGATAAATACGCAAAAACAGTGCGAGTTGTTAACGTTTTAACTGAGAAAATATATGTCTATTATAGAACAAAATGTATAGTTAACACATTTTTCTTTATGTCGTTTTAGGTAAACCACAAGGTACAGTTGCTAGAGTAAACATTGGCCAAGTTATTATGTCAACACGTGTAAAAGATCAACATAAAGCACAAGTTATTGAAGCATTACGTCGTGCTAAATTTAAATTTCCTGGACGACAAAAAATATTCGTATCGGACAAATGGGGATTTACAAAATTTTCAAGAGAAGATTATGATAGATTGATGAATGCTGGTCAATTACAGTATGATGGTGCCAATGTGAAATATCTTCCTAATCACGGACCATTAGAGCAATGGAAAAAACGTCAAACAGCTTAAAATTAATAGTGGATCGTATTTTTGTTATTTTTTTTATCTAAAGAAAATTTAATAACATCATCATGGTGAAATTTGTTTTTTTTATTTGTTATTGTATCTTTCGTTTTGGTTAAACAAAAAGCAAAACTAAGAAAGAGAACACAATAAATTTGACGATCAATATAAAAACCACAAAATGATTAGTTTGACTTAAATCAAAACGAAATGAATATACAAAAGTCTCAAGTAAAGTTAGCTCTTAATTGTTGATGAAACAAGGAATTTTTCGTACTGATTTAGGAAGTTATCTAATTACTGTACACAGTATTTTTAAACAAATAAAATTACTTTCATTCAAACCAAGAAAAGAATAGAAACTAGTTGATATGCTGATGACATTTTATACTGTTCCTACCTGATCACTTAGTGACGTTGTGTGGGATTATTAAGTTCGAGTATAAGTGTGTATAAGACATTTTCGTTCGTGCCGAAACGTTAAAGCATTTTTTTTTGTTCTAAAAAAACTTCATTCAATTACATTTAGTCTGTAAAAATTTCCACATTTTGTTTCTAATAATTGTTTAATTTACCACACTATATTTGATGTTTTCCTTTAATTAGATAGTGTTTAAGAATCTAATACTATTATTATATATGAATTAATTTAACTGAATCGATTTTGCTATGTTATAATATTACTATTGGCGAAAAATAAATGTACAAATATTTCTAAAACAACTAATAAGGCTTTTTATAAATGCAATTACTATTAAAAGTATCATAGCGCGTTGTACACACTCGAAATCAATACCTCTATGCTTATGCTCAGCGTTTTCGATAGAAGTTTTGGTGGTGGGGGGGGGGGGGGGGAAGTGTGGGCTGATTACCTAAAATTTTTTTTGTTGATTAACGTTTTTTTTGGCTAAAAGCTTTTT